GGGAGCCCGATGTGGGACTCGATCCCGGGACTCCAGGATCATGACCTGAGCCGAAGGCAGTCGCTTAACCAACTGAGCCACCCAGGCGCCCTGTGATCAAATGTCTTAATAGGATAATTTCTCAACTGATTATTTATTAGGAACTTAGAATTTTATCTTTATTTTTATGACCAGAAAGAGCTCCTTTGTGATCTGGTTGGGATTTCACCCTCCTCCAAGCATGATGTGCTCAAGGAAGCGGTCTTTCAGAAACTAGGAAGAGACAATACCCAGCTGGAGGCTGCTGAACGGTAGGCGCCCACCAGTCAACTCAGCAAAATACTGGATTCCTTCAATATCAATAAAAATGTCAATGATTTTTTTAGTCCTTTCTAGTCAAAAAGGGGTCAAGATAGAACCAGGCATTTTACATTGTCTTTGATTAATTTACTGTTCTAATGTTGGCCTATTGTAGAGAGATTGCCAAGTACTGTGTCCACGTGTGGATAAGAAAGTAGATAAAGAGAGAAATTTAATGGCAATTATAACTTGGGAAATACTTAACTTGAGACACTTCAACTACTCAGTTTCCAAGCAAGGTGGGATATTTTTTTCTTTCCTGGAGGAGATTCTCCTAGTCTTTTGCAACTACTTTAAAATGTTCATTCACACAGCCTGTGGTACATTATGCCGGTCTCCCTAATGTGGGAGAACTAACCTGTAAATTAATCTCATGTGAAGCTTTGCAACAGCGTGGAATTACAGTGTGTCAGTTCAGCTCCAGGGAGCACTGCCTTGGGGAGTCTGATGATTCTAAAGATTAAAACATTACTATTTTATTGTTATTTACAATGTAGGAGAGTCCTGTAACTTGGACTGTCATCTTGCGATTCTTCCCTTTCAAGATAAAACCCAAAGAGCTCCCTTCTTCCCAAGTGAGATTCTGTGTAGGACTTGACGTAACACAGCCACCTCTTGTGCTTCTCAGGTTGGGCTTACTTGGGGATGAACAAGTCCCTCAAGCAGAGTCTGTGGTGGATGCACTCTCCAAGCATTTGGCCAGGAAACTCTCCTATGGTAGGCCATGGGGTATTAGCTACACGTCCCAGAAACAGCACCCTAAGATGCAGTCAGCACAACTAGTGAATATGAGGGGAGGGCTGGAACCAAGCAGTAGGGATGGGGAAGTATGCTAGGAGGGAAAGAGCACTTGGGCTATTTTTCCAGAGGGAAGAATAAGAGAACTATCAAATAGGAATGAACTTGGGGAATATAGGAAAGGAACAAATTATTAGTTTGTTTTTTTTTTAAAGATTTTATTTATTTATTTGAAGAGAGAGAGACAGCGAGAGCAGGAACACAAGCAGGGGGAGTGGGAGAGGGAGAAGCAGGCTTCCC